AAGTAAATACGGCGGCTTACAGTTTCATATTCGGATATTCGTCAAAGTCCTCACTAATTCATCGGCTCGCCTAGCATGTTGTTGAACTATCATAAATGAGAAGCGTGAGTTCGCAATATTTACCAAAAGCAATAACAATCTGAATTCCAAGCGGGGCTGAGGTCCCAGGTTTGTCCCATGGTATGCCATGGCCACATATTAAATCTCCGAGCGCTTCGAAGAGCAGCTCACTCTTTGCTCGTGGCAGTTCGATGCCAGAGTTGGCGACAGTGAGGCTAACCCGCGCGAGAACAAGACGACCTGCCACACATTTTTTCTGCCAGGGGCTGCGTATTCTTGGTCGTTGGGATATATTTACCATGAGATTCACCTGCTTTGTACCGATCAGTGGGCAGAACTTGGGCGTAATCCGGACGTTATGCTACCTTTAACACAACGGGAAAAACCCGCATCCAGTTCCGCGCGAGGCGCGACTGCACATCAACTCCAGTCACGCATCCAGTAGTGCATCCCGTCAAGGAGAAGCTCTGACGACCTTGACCAAGAACTTAACATCGGGTCTCAATTATTAGTATTAGTATTAGTATTATTAAACGCAGAACCCTTGGATAAAAGGGCTAGACACTCTAACCTGCTGAGCATAGCCTGTAGAAGGACAATCCCAGTAAGGTATGATGAATGGTGGTAAGTGATCCGCGCAAAGTTTTCGCTGGCAAAGTTGGACGTCGGGCACTCGTCGCTCATCAATTGGTAAGCTGACGTAGAACTTTGCGACATTGTCCGCAGAGTCACGTTCTCTAGTATGGCCGCGCTCACCGTCACACAGTGAGCACTGAGACATTTTCCTTTCTTCGTATTGTCTACTATTTATTGGAGCCATGGACTCCCGCGCCTCTACGGACGCTAGTAGTTACGCGCCATACGGACGCTAGTAGACAGGTGTACATTACCCTACGTTGGTAGCACTTTAAATACAGGAAAAAAAAGTCACGTTCTCTATAGTCGATTGGTGCTAGTTAGTGTTCCATGTCTGTGCGGTCCGTCACCATATGTTACTCCCGGCGAATAACGGCCGGCACTTCAGGCTGTCGCTAGTGATCGCGTATCCCCGTTTACACTGTTCTGGGGACAAGGATCATCAGAGACTGCACCCTCACCGACATAGAGCAACTCACCGATTATACACTGGCCTTTGGCACATCGTACACTGTCCACGTTCGGAATAGCGCTGCAATCCCGCCCACCCGCGGCGCTGGGTTCGCCGTTCCACGAGTCCCCATCGACACAGCCGCCGCACGACTCCAAGTCGTTCTGTGTATCGACGCACTCATACGAACGTGTGTATCCTGCGCCGTAGATCATGCCGTACACCGGACATTTCTTGTGCCCCGACGGACACTTGAGTGTCTGCTTGCGCTGCGGCGGAGAACGTTTGTAGGCACCGCTTGACGGGCTTGATCCTCCGGTTCGAGCTGCAAAGGATGTGAGGGCAACGACAAGTGGAAGTTCAAAATGAATGTACGGCATTTATCACCGTCATGGTTGCAGGAATGCATGGCCCCCACGGCGGCGGTACAATCGCTTGCGCTGATTGCTCCAATCGGAGACCAGCCCTGTTGGAAGGAACCGCGGTTGGGGCAGCTGAAGCAGTGTGTCTGGCCCGCTTGGTCCTGCATCGACACTCTCAGTCCTACTATGCGTGTGATAGAAGATAAAGTGAGAGCGTACATTGTACCACCCTGAGCAGCTGTGGGGATATCAACTCAACGGACTCTGGGCACATGAGAGTATAGGGAACGCACCATGAACAACAAGATGTTGCGCCGGTGACATTGCTAAACGTCCCCGCCCGACACAAGCTGCAATCCTGACTCGCTCCAGGGCTTGCCGAGAATCTGCCAGGCTCACACGCCTGCGGCCGAGTGTTGCCACTCCCGTTGCAGTGCGTACCAGCTGGGCATATCGTGCATTGGGCTGCGAGACCGGTGCTGTAGTAGCCGGGCGAGCAGGTTGTCTCCGACGTCGCGCCGGGCCCAGTCGCGAAGTAGCCGGGCTGGGCATCCTTGCAAGCTGCAGCGTTACTCTCTGATACCATGCATGATCAGGAGAGATGCGACAAGCAGGGGAAGTGGACGCACGATCTTGCCAGGTACCCGGCAGGCACTGGCATCAGGGAGGTGTCGCATCAGCTAAAGGGCATCACGGTGCATCACAGGCCCACATACAGCTATGCAGCTAGCGCCTTTGTCGGGGGTGAATGTCCCTGGTCCGCATGCTGCTGAGGTTTGGGAAACGAGTCCTGCGAGGGTGAGGAACACGGCGACGCGCAACGCCATTTCGCAGTGCGCAGAATCAGGGAGCAGCAGGGGAAGCCAGGCGCACCTGCTTCTTGACTTATATGTTCACGCCGTGAACGCGCTCCGTAGGGGCGTCGTGTTCGACCTGTCACTCTTATCTATCTCACCTCGGAAGGGGACCTAAGCAGGATAAGAGGAGTCTGGCACCCGACGAGAAGTGAGGGGTGTCTAATGCGAATCTCTAATTGATTTGACCTGTCAGTAGCCAAGATACCAATGATCGGGACTGGGCATTTGCATAGGGGACGGCGCTATGATATAGAGGAGCGTCATAATGAAGCCTTCTCCCCCTGAACTAATGGGCTCTCCCAACTGATTCCATGGTCTAGACAACACATACGTCAGCAATTCGCCGGATGCATCTCAGGGCACTCACAAATTCCGACGCCGTTGGGCCATCGAGGATGTTTAGTTCCTCGGCAGTGAAGGGGAGCCGAGGTATTATCAGCGTACGTATAGGCACTAGAAGCAGGATGATTATGGGGAATCCGATAGCAGCTATACCGGTCGCATGGGATAAGCGGGGCAATGAGGCAGCAATGTACCAATCATACGTACCGATGGTTTGGGTAACTGCCATAGTCGCCCCGAATGCAGCCAGCTGCACAGCCACGAATAACAGTACTCTAGACTTGCGGACATTGCGGAGTGGATCGTCTTTAGGGGTCAAACTTTTATCCCTGAGGAAGTACAGGAGTTTGCGAGTGATCCCATTCCCTTCGAGGGCGTCGAGCCCCATGTACCAGCTATTATAAACACATTATCAAATGCTTCGCTCTGCTTGAATACTCGAGCGACTCACAACAATCCAGCAAGGACGCCTCTAGGAACCAGACTCAGCACATGCAGGAAAGGCCCTGAGAGCAGTACGAGGCACAAGGAGCCTTGAGCGAGATTAGATACGCGCTGTTCCACTACCGCGACGGGCCGTTCATGCTGGCGAGCCTCTCCGTCACCATCCTTGGCGTGGGTCGGATCGGGCTCAAGCTCCTGTTGGAAGTGAGGCATGTGGACATTAAGGAGCCTCGATTCTATAAGGCCGGGCTCGCCGGGCTGTCTTGGAGTCTTCTCTAGTAATCGCGAAGACGTTTCAATATCGTCTTTCTTCGTCCTGTGAGCACTTTCCATCACGAGCAACGACTGGGTGTGGATGGGAGCTTGAGGGATAAGGCCATTAGGCGCAGGGATACCGAGCAGGCCTGCGATGAAGGTCGTGATCCCGAGAATGAAGAAATCGTAGTGAAAACCGGGCGGCTTCCGTAGAGGGAATTGGCTCCCCTGAGCCATGAGTGACTATTGGCCTGGTCAGCGACGGTTGTAAGGATGGCCTCAAAAACTCACGGAAACGTTATGGTCGAAGAAAAACAGGACCCAGAGAGCGAAGCCGAAAGGAAACGCTATGCCGACCCATTTCCCTTCGAGCTGCCAGAACTTGACTAGCCAGTCTCTGCCGCCAGCTGGCTGGAACGCCTTGCCCACAGGAAGTGTCGTAGGGTTGGCATGATTAAACCGACCCCAATACGCCATCGCGGAGGCAGCTACCAAGGACAGCGGCATGCCATAGTCGGCCAGAAAGCGTCGGACATGACGATGGAAGTACGAGGATTGCGATGCAGTGCGGAAGAGATATGACGACATGACCATAAGCAAGGCCAGTATAATGCCTACGAATGCGCCATCCAGAGTATTTTCTGGAGCTGAGGGGTTGGGGAACTGGCGAGTGACAACCTGTACGCCATACTGAAGATATACCCACGAGACATAGAAGCCGAAGGTATCGCAGGAAAACAGGGTGACGTATCGCAAGAAGTTACACCCTATTGTAGTTGCTGTCAATGTTGCTCTAGTAACTAATCGCACGTAGGCTACTCACAGTTTAATGCAGCCGTGATCCAATGCAGTATGGCTCCCCAGAGGTAAACCCAGCCGACAAACTGTAAGTAGTTGGGGGGATTATCCTGACGTTGTATAATGTCGAAAATCGTCTTGTTCAAGACTGTGATGGGACCGGTAACACCAGCGATGCACAGAGGCTGAGCGCCGAAGATCGAGAATATGAACGCAGCCATGAATGATGATAGAAGGACCTCCGAGACGCCATATTCCTGAGTTGTCTCTATGAGGTCTAGCGAGAACGCGATACCGGGTAACACGCTGGCATATGAAGTCAAGGGGGAACAGGAAGTGAATGGAGACGGGGGACTCACTTTGCGAAGAAAATCAAGACGACAGCAGGTATTACTCTATAGTTCCAAGCATCGGTCCAATCGCTGACATAGTACGACGCGCGGCGGCGTATGTCATGTATGATCCCCTTGCCAATGCTATTACTCCGCAACCACGCCACGAAGCGGTTTGGGGACTTGGCGACTACAGTTGCCGATGGCGACCTAGAGACTTGCGCCTCGTCCTTCGCCCCTTCCACCGACAAAGCTGGAGCAGGCGTCACGGATCGTGACCTAACGTCGGACATCGCTCAATTAGGGTATTGTGGATCTATCCAAGCATAGAACGAAAGGTCGTGAAAGGCAGCGAGCTGCCGTCGTGGAAGCGCGGACGAGAACATTTTTTGGTGGTGGGGAAGCAGAGAGCGGCACGCTGGGCGGGTCAACTCCTTTCGGGCAACGCCGACTGACGGCTCCGATCGCGATAACTAGCGGAGCAGCAACCGCTGCTTGCTACTCTGCAACATTCAACTTGCATTTTTATCGTGTTTCGAGGAGCGAATACGAGCTACAAGCCGGTTCGAAACTTGTTAGATATAGACCTGCTCACTCTCGCTGGAATTTTATAGAATGACAAGTGAAGCACATAAACAACCGAAGAAAGGCCTGTTCGCTTGCGTTTATGCGTCCTTCTTCTACCTCGGGTTGCTCTACCCTGTCATCATTGGTGTCCTCTCCATCCCAGAGGTCCAGAAGCAGTGAGTGGCGCTATCCGTAAATGATACCTGATGAACAAATCCTCGGTTAGTTTTGCCTACGGGCACGGCCTCAAATTCCCTCTATTCACGAAGTACGATGCACCTGAAAAATACAGCTTGGCTCGTAAGCACGGTTCATCGTGGGGCTGAGTGCCGACTAAACTGACGACAGCTCGTACCCAGCTGGTAAAACTTTCAACACAAACTTCTCGACCCCAGACAACTGCACCCTCGGTGCCTGGTTCGTCCTCGCAGACCCATATTACCAGAATCTTAGAATGTCCTCTCCCAAGCAGCTCTCGCCACTAACAAAGGACGCAGTGCTCGGTGCTATTCAGGCATTCCCCACGATCCTCTTCCTGCATGGTGCGGGAGGCACGCGTGCGACCTCGTGGCGCGTAGGGTCCTACCGCAGCTTCACCTCACGTCTACAAGCCAACGTCTTCTCAATCGACTATCGCGGCTTTGGCGACAGCACTGGGAGCCCGGACTCGGACGGTCTCATCCTGGACGCGTACACTGCCTGGCGGTGGCTCTTACAGCACGGCGCGGAGCCCGAGGATGTTGTCATTTATGGACACAGCCTCGGGACAGGCGTCGCTGGGCAACTCATGCGCCGCCTAGCCATAGAAGGTGTCGCACCACGCGGCGTCGCGCTGCTTGGGCCGTTTTCTAGTTTAAGTAAGCTCATAGAGACGCATGCTTTCCTCGGCATACCCATCCTGCAGCCGCTGCAGAGCTTTTCGTGGGGCCTCAGTACGCCATCCTCACAGATGTTGACAGAGAATGACTAGGCTGACGCTTCGCGGTTAGAACTCTTGAAGTACATCATCCGCCACGAGTTCGACACGCTCGCGGCGATACAAGACTTCCACGTCCCAACCTTCGTCGCGCACTCTCAGAACGACATGGAGGTCCCGCACACGCACGCAAAGACCCTCATCGATACTCTCCTCGAGCCGCTGCTTCCCGAGGCGACCGTCCAGCTTCCGAGTGCACCGGGGAAGACGCTGACGACCGAGGAGTTCCTCGCATTTCGCAAGCAACAGAAAGAGCGCAGCCTCAAGCGCGGTGAGATTGTCAGGACGACGGACGTCCCGAATTTTGGGATGATCGAGGAGTTCCAGGGTCTTCACTCCCCGATTGTCTACGTTGAGACGTTCTGGGGCTCGCATGCGGAAATTGGAGCGCAAGAAGGCGTACAGGACCAGATGGCGAAATTGTTTGGTTTGGGTGCCTACCGCGCCCAGAGACGTGAGGGGGAGTCTGTTGTACACCGGGCTGTTCGCCATCTCACAGAATGAAGCATGTTTGCATCCTCTTTACTTCCTGCGCTGGGCTTCAGTTTCAGTACTCCAGTGGAAAGCGGTTTCGACTTCGCGGTAGAGATCTCGATCGCCGTCCGGTCATGTGAGTCGGCCGGCCTTCCGAGCGGACAGTTCCTTGGCAATTGCGAGTTTGGACAGAGTCTCACCAGCACGAGATGTGCAGAACTTGTCTCGAGCTTTCATCTCTGCTGCACAGTCTCGAAGCAGTAGAGTGTACTTTGACATCTCCAGAATAACATCAAAATCCTCGCCAATTTTACCACTAAACTGCTCACAAGCGAGCATGGCCGCCGAACCAAAGGTCGCAGTTGTCACAGGAGCATCTTCGGGTATGTTCAGGGCAACCAGATACACGGTTAATCTCATTTTTGCGTGGCTGCAGGGATTGGCAAGGCCTCTGCCATCGCCCTTGCGAAGGCAGGATGGTCCCTCGTCCTGTTCGCGCGGCGCACAGATGCTCTCCGCGAGACACAGGCAGAGTGTCCCCATCCTGATAAGGTCTTGCTGATTACGGGTGACGTCACCAGTGAAGAGAGCGTTATCGAGCTCTTCCAAACTGCAGTGCAGCGGTTCGGTAGGTTGCCAGGTGATTAAAAAGGTTGTAGGGACTGCTAATCGGCTTGCAGGGCGAATCGACCTCTTGTTCAATGTACGTCAGCTTCCCATCTTGCACCATGAGTCCCTAAACTAGCTCTTGTATAGAATGCTGGCATATCCCATTCGGCCTCGCCGTTGGACGAAATTTCACTTTCGACGTTCCAGAACATCGTCAATATCAACGTGATTGGAACTTTCCTCTGCACCAGAGAAGCATTCAAGATATTTAAGGCACAATCTCCTCGGGGCGGTATGCTGTCCAACTTAGCCTTGTGTTCATCCGCTTATACGGCATCTCAACAGGTCGAATCATTAATAATGGCTCCATCTCTGCACACTCGCCACGGCTGCATGCCGCAGGGTACACCACGACCAAGCACGCCGTGCTCGGCCTCACGCGCGCAACTGCGCTCGACGGAAGGCAACTCAACGTCACTTGCACGCAGATCGACATTGGGAACGCGTACACCGACATGGCCGCAGTCAACCAGACCGGTGCCCTGCAGGCAGACGGGAGTGTGAAGGCGGAGGGCACGTTTGACGTGCGACACGTTGCGGACACGATCGTCCATATTGCGAGTCTGCCGCTGGATGTGACTGTGCTGAACTTCAATATCTTGTGAGAGCCCACTTCGCTGCGCTGGTCTGACTTGGCTGATCTGGGATTCGATGTAGGGCTACCACCATGCCCTTCGTCGGCAGGGGATAAGACAAGGCTGAACAACCGGAAAAGGCGGTCATCTCCCGAGTCACATTTTTGTATAATTCAGCAAAGCCCCTGAAGCGGTAACAGCCAAACATTCATTCCACTAAATGATGCAGAACTCGATCCACCACGGAATCGCTCTCACGCTCATACTCAGCGCGGTAGATACCCAGTCCAAATAACTTAGCCATCTGGTCCTGCACACCTTCCTGTGCTCCAATATCCCCATGCGAGCCCCAGAACGTCTCGACGTAGGTGATCGGCGCACGGAGACCCTTGAACTCCTCGATCATCCCAAAATTTAGGACATCCGTTGTCTTAACGATCTGACCACGCTTGAGGTTGCGCTCTTCCTGCTGCTTGCGGAACGCGAAGAACTCTTCTGTGGTCAGCGTCTTTCCCGGTGCGTTTGGAAGTTGGATGATCGCCCCGGGAAGCAGTGGTTCGAGGAGAGCGTCGATGAGTGTCTTTGAGTGCGCGTGGGGAACTTCCGTGTCGTCTTGTGCGTGAGCAATGAGCGTCGGAGCGTTGAAGTCCTGTATCGCAGCTAACGTGTCGAATTCGATGCGGGCTATGTGCTTCAGAAGCTCTGCAGACATGGATGAGCTGCGCATTCCGCAGAAGCTGTTTTGGCGGCCTACTGAGACCCCACGGGAAGCTTTGCAGTGGCTGCAGGATCGGGATGCCCCAGAGGTCGTACGACTCAATGAGTCGACTCACGCTGGAGAACGGTGCGAGGAGCACGATGCCCCTCGGACGGAGATCCTCAGCTGCGAGACGCTTCGCGAGCTGGCCCGCGATGCCCGTGCCGAGACTGTGCCCCACAATGACGATGTCCTCCGGTCGTGCGCCGCGCTCCAGCAGCCATTTCCACGACGTGTACGTATCTAGTTCGAGACCGGGGCCGTCAGGGCTTCCTGTGCTGTCGCCGAAGCCGCGGTAGTTAGGCGCGAAGACGTTAGCTTGCAGTCGCGAGGTGAAGCCGCGGTACATGTCGACACGGAACGAGGCTGCCCGCGTTCCGGCCGCGCCATGCAAAATAAGGGCCGTTGGGTGTGTCTTTATGGCATCAATCACAGTAGATCTGTCAAGGGTGAGAGCTGCGAAGGGAAGGTGGTCCGCAGGGTCTGGTAGTACGGATCCGCGAGGGCGAACCAGGCGCCAAGTGTACAGTTATCTGGGGTGGTGAAGTACGTATTCAAAGTTTTGCCAGCTGCAGGTGGCATGTATAAACACAGGGAGTCGAATCATACGAGCACACTTACGAGCTAGACCGTATTTCTCGGGTAGGTCATACTTCGTGTAGAATGGGAATCTAAGCGCGTGCTTGAATGTAGCACTATATGAAGACATTCAGATATCCTAATAAGTTGCTTCTGCTTTGTTGGGCTCACTGTCTTTGGACGGCTGGGATTGTGAGAAGCGCAATGATCACTGAATATAGCAATCCGACGTAGAAGAAAGATCGGTAAATCCGCGCAATCATGCTTTTCTTCGGCTGCTCCACCTTGCACTCTGCCATAGTCTGTAAGTTCTGAATGACGCGCTGTAAAGCTATCTGTCCTTATCTTTTGGGCTGTCGCCTTAGACTGCAGTCAGAGCGTGGCATTAGTGGTGCGGATACGGAGACCAAGCGCCCGAGGACCCCGAAGCTGGGCCATGGGATTGTAATACTGCGCGCTATTGAAACATACAGTTGGCGAAGGCACTGTGAGAAGCCCCAAATCGTACTTAAATCCTTTATACATGGCCCTGGCATGCAAAGAGGTTAGTAGACGGGCCCGGGTCTCGGATTCAGGACCCGAGCATTTATTGATCAGTAACTGGTGAGCGGAAGGTAATCAAGTACCAATCCATAAGTAAATAGCCGCTTGAAATACATACACTCATACGTGGCACTATTTTGAACAAAAATATCTGCAGACAACAATAGCTGACGATGATGTGGTGCGGAGGTCCCATCCAGCTAGTTTCAAGCATGGCCGACCAACCTCCAGGCGCAAGGCATCATAGCTTTCCACGGAGCTAGAAAATGGCTACCTGCATCGATCGTCCAGTCTTATGGATTCCCGAGTAGCAGGCAGCAGAGTGTAGGCGGAAGCGTGTGTACGCTTCTGTTTTAGGGGACGGTAAGAGGTATTCGGGGTCGGAGTTACGCGGCGCCGGGAGAGGGGTGGGCGGGATGACGTCATCACTCTGAGGTGCATCCGGCGCGAACTGCTCAGCAAGCCAGGATGTATATGTACGGCCGCGCAAAAGCGGTCCTTCCTCGTCTCCTGTACCGCTACCACCACCTACTCCCGTCTGCGTGGTCTGCGACGCACGAAAAAGCACAGCCATGTCCTCACGACTCGGACTCTCCTGGACTCAGACCATCCGCTTCCTCTTCCAGACACCGCTCGTCCCGCCGGAGAGCAAGCAGGAGAAGGTGGTTGAGATAGACATGGTAGACCTGTCGCCGACCCAGTCAATTGTGTCCTCGGTATCTTCGGTACGTTCAGCGTCGCGTTGGCACTAGCTCGCATGCTTAACCTCCCGTCTGTAGCGACGGAACGGCTTGGATCTCAGGCCCGAAGACCGCCGTGCGCCATCGTCCCCAGGACAATGGTCCGACATCTCACTAGCATGATTGCATCATGTATGAACTCCTGGTACGTGTATCGCCATTTGTGAGCGTGTTCGAGCTCTAATGTCGTACTTTGTCAGAAAAACTATCGCACGACCCGTCACGACCCTTCACGCACTCATGCTAATCTGCCACGCATTCCGCTCTTGCAAAATTCTACGCTAATATAAACATAATACCTGTATAATCCTCGCCACTGTATCCCTAGTTCGCATGTTCCGCTTATAGGTCACTCGGGTCTTCCTAATTTCGAGGGTTTACGTTTAATCTGTTAATTTTTGGAGGCATACTTTAGTACATATATCAGTCTGCTTACAGTACAAGTGTGGTTAATCTTTGTTGTGTTATAGTAGCCGTGGAAGCATGATCTCTCATGTGTCTATGATTATTCAGTATGGATATCGTTGCAAAGTCCCGGGCCTCGTCCGTTAGGACGCGAAATAATCGGCATACTTGCTTTATATTCGGGTGCGCCCACCGCAACGACATCTAACAATGGCGGCCAGTGCCTGTACTGCAAATTCTCTACTACGGCAGACTCGATAGCGACTCACAGGGTCCATAGGACAGGCAGTGCCAGAGCGGCGATGCCGCTCATGATGCTGCACGCGGGACCGACGCCGAGGTTGTAGAAGTGCTGAGTGCGCCGTCTAGTGAGCGGAAGACCGTTGTTGGAGGGTATATATTGAAGCACTTGATGGGCATAAGGGGCAAAGAGTGATCAGTCACAGAAGATACCCCACGGACGGTTAGGCGAGGCACCCACGTAATGCGGACCGCGAAGTAACACTTACAAGGAATACCATCAATCCATCCTGGCCACTACTAAAGTCATAGTACCTAACAAAAATATTCTGAACGGTAGATACGGACCGTCCCGTGGGCCGGCCGCAAGCGGGCGTTTTGGAAAGCTACGATGGGCCTGCCAAGCATGACCCGCGAAGAGGAACGGCCAGACGAGGGTCATCATGACGACGTTATCGAGCACATGTTGCTCGGCCCTAGTTTCCCCCTGCAATTTGAATCACTTATTGCCAGTAGTGCGGCAGGGACGTGCTGCATTGGGATGAAGCGACTGCTAGCGCACTGTCATGAGCGCGGGCTCCAGGCTGGGATAACAAGAGCATGTACGTCGAGACCGACGGTTCGGACGAAATAATGCCGATACAGAGGCGAAGCCGGCGAGAAAGGGGAGCGTACCAAGGTTCAGCACGCGCTGGGTCGGCACTTGAGGCACGACGAAGAGCGCTAGCACGAGGACGCACATTGCAGTCCGCCGGGGTTGCACAACCTCCGGAGCGGACTGAGAAATATCGACCCAGCGTCGTACCTGGCGGCGAGGGGCGTCGGACCGATCGTCGCTGCCACGGAAGGGGCATCGAACGACACTACGACTTGGACGTTGTCGATCCTCGGCACGAAGGACCGCTAGGCTTTGGTCAGCAGGTGATAAATTGAATGGCAATTAGGACGAGACCACGTATTGCCCGAATTCTCGTTGATCCTTGTTGCACCGAAACCATCCTTGTATTTCGCAAGGTAAATTTCCTTGACCTTAATGGCTTGTCGTCGCTCTAGCCTCAATTCGTCGCGGCCTTGCCATCGCTGCTTGCTCATAGTTGACGTCGTGCGGCTGGCGAGACTCTGCATCGTTAGGTGGCTTGGTGGCAACGATAACCGAGCACTGAGTGCGATAAAAAGCTTCACTGTTGTTTCCCTCGACTGATCTTGGTTGCGTGAACGCGCAGAGCTTAGATGGTCCCTCCAGTCCTGCCGTACGCCGAGCTTCTTAAACAACAGAGCGTTGACAAAGTGAGCTCGCAGCATAAGCAAGAATTGCGCTCACTAATAGTAATATGTAGCAGCGCTGCCCGTACGTATCCATTATTCTCAACCATGGCCCTGGTCCATTGTCGTGCTTACGCGAAAATCTAGATATTCCAGTAAGTATATCGAGGACAGGTAATCTGAAGCTTGTTCAGAACGCCTGCTACTTCTGCTTTTGTGCGTATCCATGGGTGTCTAGTCTGGCCGACCTCTTGGAGCTCCTGGTGTTCCTTTCCTTGTTACATGGGCAGAAGGGCATCCGGGGGTTATCGTGGCAGAGGCGAAGTCCAGCCGCCATCCTACCATAATACGAAACGATTAAAATATCAAGCGCCTGACAGCCCAGCAACCGAACCGATTTTGCGTCGGGCCTGGACGACGTGCAAAGGAAGAGATTCTGTCTCAAGTTAACATGCCTCGGTACCAAAAGATTGGGAGTCCGTACCACAAACCTAGTGTGGGCTCCGAATTGTTAGACGCAGTTTTGGCATGCAAGGGTAGAGGCTCTTCCACTCAGCGTTGGGCGGTCAATGACCGAGTCATCCCAGTCACGGTCATTGACTGACAGCTGGTCACTGAGTACTGAGTACTGATGGGTCAATGACCGAGTTACAGTCAATGACTGGGCGGTTTCGTGATCCCACGCAAGCGAAATGCCGGGGTCGAGCGCTTGGGGGGACAGACCCCAATGGAATGGCAGGGCCTGATGGCGCCCTGCGATATGGTTGCCTGCCAAGGTGGGACCCGGAAAACCGGCCAGTCACGGTCATGTCTGACTCGGTCATTGACCAGAGTGACCAGTCACTGACCAGTCACTGACCGACACAACGCTGCTTCCACTGCACGTCATTTGAGCAAGTTGTGAGGGGGCATGAAGAGTGTTAGAGGTATGCGAGGGACACCGTAAGGTGAGAGTGTCGACTAAATAGTGTTGGTTCGAGGATAAACAACTTATGTCAATCGCTTCTGAAACAACTTGTGTTAATATTTAATGATTGCTCCCGAGACCTCTTACTTACCAGTACCGTTAGTTTGCTGTCAAAAACACGCTATTTTACCTCTAGCCAACCTGGAGATAAATCATCGGACGTCCTTCGTGCCCACTCCATCTCGATCTCCCCTCCCCTCATGTTGCTGAGTACGGACGACGAGAGGTCTCCGAGAAGCGCCCGTGTATTGCCGTTGTGGATTGACGCGGGATTGATGCGTGCGTCGGTACGCCACAATGATGGCGGGGTCGCCCAGGCCAGACCCGCCAGGTGCCAACAAAGTTCCGGAGACAAATTTTTGGGGCGGGCGGGGGCATAGTTTTATGTCGCGAAATGACGTCTCTTTTATACGAAATATACTGTAAAACAAGTTTTTACATATTCTTCGCAGCAAAAAACTCCCCAAATTCATGTCTCGTGCAGCGGATGCATATGCTTTGCAGTTCTGAAGGCCAAAATTCTGCTCTAGAGGGTTACATCCAATCAGCTCTTTAGACAGACATACACTAGGGTATATATAAATCTATATACAACATAATCTCAGTACAGTACCGCGGTAATAAAATAGTACCAAAGTCAGCTTGCGTATCTTCGAAATTTGAAGTTTGGGGAAGCAAGAAATTTTGAACGCGTCAAGACAGGCAAGGCATCCACCTCTATACGAAGTACACCAGCATTACTATGTGCTTTCCCTCCACATCGCCTTCACCATCCCACAAGTCGTCTCAGAAGGCATCCCCGCCGTACTCTGCGCCCCTTTTCCTCCGGCGGTTGAGCTGCGGCTCTGCCACCTTGGTGGCGCAAAGCCAGACTGGCATGCGCACCTGCTGGCGCGGCCTGCTTCGTTGAACAATTGTGCACCAGTCGCTCGTGCTGGTGTGCGCCGTCGATGTGACGTGTCGATAGAAGTAGGATCGTGGACATGGCCGCTGGCGCGTGCAGCCGCGGACCCGCGACGCGCTAGAAGCTACTGAGCTTCAGCAATGTTGACATCTTTGGGTGCTTGCGTGGAGCCTTCGCGACAATCCGTGTGATGTGTATGTGAGGCTGCAGTAGGCCGCTTGGTATGACCGAATGCAGGGACGTCGCCCGCTGCACAAATTGCAACTTGCATGGTGTGATGCGGGTAGTGTATATAGTGCGCCCTGGTAGCTTCCGACGAATGCTCGTATGGGTATGTAGGGCTGGCAACAGTGTAATGCGAAGTGTGGAGATGCGAGTGAGGACGTAGCGTCGGTCGGGAGGGGGAAGAGGAGAACGATGACCACGGGCGGGAGGAGACGAGCCTAGAAGAAGACGGCGGCGTGGACGGCGGCCTGGGACTTGATCGCACTTTGTGCGCTGTGCGGCCGGGGCTTCGCAGAGGGAGCAGCGACGGCGGCGGCATTGTACGAGACGGGTACGGTGGATGCGTTGGTGAACATGCTCTGCGGCGCGAGGATTGGGACGTCTGAGAGACCGGTTGTGGTGTGGACTGCAGTTGGCAGGACGATTTGAAAGATGACAGGCCCATATATGTGCGCAGGCCTCAGGGTCTATGATGCCGGCGCGTGTTGCGGTAAGAGGCATCCCGCCTGACGTCGTCGCGAACCCGTCTTCTCGCGACGGCGTAGCGACAACCGTCTCATGATTTCCTGGAACTTACCTCTGCTTGCGCCGTCGCACTTCTGGCAGAAAGGCCTGCCTAGACCACTGGCCGGAGACAACACCGTAATGGAGGTGAGACAGCGGTGGGACGTCAGTTCCGCCGTTTCCCCCCTTAGAATTGTTCCCGGGGCTGTATCGTTCTATGACGAAATATGTCAGAGTTTACCGCATTTCAGAAGGCTATGCCTGACCAGTGAGGAGGCTCGCTGAGGATCCGCATGGCTCGGTGGTAGGCGGTGGCAGTGACCAAGTTTGTCGAGGGTAAAGACTGTGAGAAAAGCCCGGATTATGGACCGGATCAGCCGTACAATTCCCTGCGGTTCGGTTCGGAAACAGACGCTTGCACAGTCAAACCGCGCATGCTGCCTGCGCGCCCTCTTTGGTCTTGCCTCCACTCTAACTCTGCGGGATGCAACTCTTCATCCACCTAATCCCCTTTATGCTCGCAAGCTTCTGAGCGGCACTGCGGGCTTGTACACGCCTAGCCTAACTCTGAAATCAAAGCCAATCGAACGGGTCAAAACCGCGCTTTCTCCTCTGAGCTCGCCTAGCATCGAGTTTGCCTCGTCAACCTTCGAATAGCGGTGCAGAGAAGTATCAGGCCTCGACCTCCACATGTGATTAGCCTGTACCGTTCACGCCGCGGCCAACTCTCCACCTATGCACAGGCCCACCCTGCCTTTCCGTATGTCCCAGCAACAGACGGTTGCCGTCCATCTATCAACGCTGATGCCGCGCTGCGCTCGGCTCGCAGGCGATCCCTAGCCGTGCGGCTCGCCTGGCCCAGAATTTGTTATGCGCGCACCTGGTTCGCCCGCTAGGATCCGTGTTCGCGCTGGATGGCCCGCGGACGTCCGTAACGTCTCTCATTCGACGGCATGTCCCACGGGGTACGCTGCGCTGCACGGAGCAGCGCGCATTCTAGCACGACGGCGTGCGTCACCCGGCACCGCATGATGTAGGGACGCAAGAATGGGAGTGATACCCTGTGTCGCGTTGTTACGCCTGCGCATCGAGCCGTGTCGTCATCCCCGCAAGCGCACTCGGGCCCCGACGGGCAAGGGCAAGGGGTCGTTGCCCTTGATGAGGCATTTTAGTCTCTGCACGTTCTTCTCTTCTTCCCATCTTCTTCCCTTCCTCCCGCAGACATCAGTGTTGATTGGAATGCGCAGACCGTTATTGTTCTCGAAGCGGCCAGCATCAAACCCGCAGCGCAGGATGATCACAGGTTTGACCGGCCTCTTGCTTTGAAGATACCATTATGGACGGCCGCTTCACTTCCGTCTTCCATACCCAGTGCTAGCATTGGTGTAGAGCGCAATTCCGGCTGTTCATGCTGTCAGAATTATCACGGCAATGCTGTATGCGGCATGTCTTGTTTTACGGAGGTGGCGCATGCCGAACGCACAGCGTATTACACTGATTGTTTGTGATGATCCCTCCAGCGGCTGGCACACGACTGAATTGGCTCAATTGGTTGAACACAGGTGCGCTCTCACTGGTGTCTATCAGGTACAATCTACCTGCCACATTCGCGACCGAAATCAAGCCAAGTCACTCGTGAGACCGTCGGGTCACATTCAATCTCTTTACCGCCGGCGATCCATGCCATCTGACCAGTCTAAGCGATGTTGTGATATTCGTTCATTATTAACAGGGACGACACTACATCTGGAGATGACACTGGCAAGTGTGAGATGAAGAAAAGGATCCGCAGGCCGGGTGAGCCCATTATTACAAATAGAGAAGAACTTGTACGGTAACGTCCGAGGCAGAGCGATCTAAACTACTACAGATACATGATGGGGGCAAGAGCATTACGAACACGTACACACACAATAGAATAAAAACCGTTTCCCAAAAGTCCCGTGTTTCCTTCAAGACTGCGTCCTCGGCTCGAGGACGACGGCGAAAGCCCCTGCTTCCGCAATATTACAGGCGCCGTTGCGCCACAAGGTCTTGTGGCGCAAGATCGAGGCGGGACCTCGACCGAAAGTGTCAGACATGAGTGGTGGACACCGGATGGCAGGCCCCGCTGTAGGGGGGGGATCTGCGTGGAGTGCGGCGAAGAGCACGGCTCGTCGCCAAGCGCGGCTGCGAGGGCCAAGTCAGCAACCCGGCGCCAAGGGTGAGTCAGCCCGTTGCGACACGAACCTTGCTCGGTGCGCGTCCCCTTTCTCAGAAGAACACTGCCCCGTTCCCGCTCGCAGCGTTCTTGATGTTCGACTGCGAGGAGGTGTCCTTGGTGCCAGAGGCGACGGGCTTGGCGGCGAGCGCGAAGGCCTTGACGCCGGATGAGATGCGACGAGAGCAAGACATTATGGTTGCGAGGACGAGATGAATAGGGTGGAGTGCTGCGCGGGAGGTCTGTCTCGTCGACGGGAGTGTCTTGAACGTCTGGTGGAGGCAAGCTGGGATGGTGGAACAGCGAGGTGGGTGCGTCCCTTTTATACGACACGAGCCAGTAACTGACGGAATCAGCTGAAACAATGACTAGTGATGGCCTGGCGTGGCAGCTAGTCAAGCACAGTCAGAGAACGCGGCGATGCAGGTACGGTGCCGGGCATCACACTGCCTGGCGAGGACGTACTAGGATTTCGGGAAGCTGATGACATATCGACCAGCCCAGCGGACAGGCCGCGGACACCCCGAAAAGGGCGTGTGCTGCCGGGGCAGCGGCGTACGCCCATAACGAAGCGGTGATATCAGGATGCAAGCCTGTTCGCGGCGGTGAAGCGAGCTGTGCGCAGGCGGGCGCATCAGCTACTGTTGAGATCCTCCAAGCCGCGGCTGCGACAGATTTGGGCAGATCTGGACGAGGACGCGCGCGCGCGCGCGCACGTGACAGCCATCAGCCTCGAGGCTCCGCAGGCCGCCTCGAGGACCCTCCAGGGCCGCAAGCAGTTACCAGGCAGCCCTGTTGGCATCCTTGCAATCCGTGCAGCTCACACGCTGGATTCCCTCCCAAGGTTGGCTGACGGCAGGGGCGGTAGGAACGGGCAGAGAAACGCGGGTCGACAGGCACGGAACAGATGGCGAAGTGCATACGTGTTCGTCGGCCGTGTCCGAAGCGTTCGTCGTCTGTGGGTTGCTGCGCAGATGTGGCGATGTCTGGATGGCCTGATACGTTTGGGGCACTGCGGCGTTGTGCGTCGCGCAATGCTGCGATACACGTCGCCTGCGCTCAGGCACGGAGCCAAACGGCGACTGTTTGACGTGGATGGGCTCGAGCGACGCTCACGTGCCCACGCTTGTTCGGCTTCGGCGCCCCTCGCCAAGGGCTCATATGTCATCCAGCAAACGTCGAACCGTCGAACCTACAGGCAGACAAATCGCGCTTGCGTGGGACCGAACGAGCTGCAGCAGCGAAGCTGTCAGGACGCCAGCAAGACACGCCGCGCCAGACGAGGCCGGGCTCCAATCTGAGACGTTCGCAACAAATGTGCGACGAGCCGTCCCGTTTCGAACCCAGAAGCCTCCCCCCCCACCTCGAGCACGGTCTCCGCGGAGGGTAAATCCGAGGCACAGTGATGCGGACGCGGTGCGCCGCGCTAAGGCCGTCGTGATCGAGCAGAGCCCTGCCTCCGGGCCCGCACAGACCACGAGGGGGCACAGGGCACGTCGCGATACGCCGGCGGAAATGAACGAGACGAACATTGGCAGGGATCACAGGAACTTTGCGCGGAGGCTCTCCACTTGCGTAACGGTGTGCAATAGTGGGACATTGACGGGACTTTTTTGGACTAGTGCGAGTGGGGCTCGCTGGCGTTGGTGGGACATGGGCCGTGGAGATAGTAGTAACTTCGAGGGGCTGAAGCCGACGCGGAGGCTGGTACGCCGGTACCCTGTTACTGCATATGTAGCCTCGCAACGCCACCCGCATGCTAGGTCTCCCTACGACCGCATCGTACATTAGGCTCGCGAACCTTGCCCACACGATATGCCATCACCATTCGTAATGTAAGCCTAAAGCCTCTTAGGCTGAGCGGCGACGACGATAAGCGAGCGCCCGACCCACGGAGGCCAACGCGCCCCGAGCGTTTAGCGGCGTGCCAGCGTTTTTGACGCAGAGAGGCTGCCAGCAGGTTTCAGATCTTCACATGTGATGACACGGTGGCCACATTCGCTTTCCTAAACCGACATATAACAAACGTACACGTTTACACGGGGTTCTGCGTCGCCGTGGCACACGTCGGAAGTCCCTTGGGTTCTGGCCTGGCAGAGGGCAGCGCCGCAGATGGCCTTTTTCTTTCTTTCCCCCTCAGGACACCGTCACGATCAGCTTCCCACTGGATGCGAAGCGTGCGAGACGTCGATCAGCATGCGAAACGGCAACGGGAGAGCGCGCTAGAGAGGGGGGAGAGAGAGAGAGAAACAAAGGACGTACGCGTTTGCATCAGCCTGCATCGTCCTGTGCGCGTCTTGGATCTTCTCGAACGGAAAGACCTCGTGGATGTACGTGCGGATCTTTCCCTCGCCTGTGCTGCCCGTGATCTCGCCCAGGATGTGTTCCTGAAACCTGTATACACAAAGAATGGCGGTGGCCAGTTCAGTGCCATGTCGAGACGTCGCGAGGTGGGTGCGCGCAAAAGAGCGCGGGCGCCAAAAACGGCGGTCCCGTAGAAGGAAAGAACAAGTGTTGGAAAAAAGAAAAGGAAAAAGAAAAAAAAAAAAAAGAGGACGCACTTTGCTATCAGCTCGGCCTGGTACGCCGCAGAGCGGCTGCGCAGCGTCGAGCCCTCGATGTGCAGCCGTTTGTACAGAATCGGGCCCAGGTCCACGTCCTCGACCTTGCTCCCTGGAAGGTGTGCGTGTCAGTCAATGGCGGCGCGGGGAGGGGGAGTCCACGTCCAAGAAAAAAAATTGCTGCAAGATGCGCAAAAAAACGAAAACGAAAAAAAAAACAATACGCGTACCGCTGAGGAAGGCGAGGAGCGTCATGCGCCCGTCGCGCGCGAGCGCGGCGACGTTCTTGTGCCAGTGCGTGCGGCCGACAAAGTCGATGACGACGTCGACGCCCTTGTCGCGCGTGATCCGGCGCGCCTCTTCGCAAAAGTCCTGCGTGCGGTAGTTCACCGCGTGCGTCGCGCCGTGCGGCATCTGCAGCAGGAAGTCGATCTTTGCCTGCGTCGACGCCGTCGCCGTCGCCGTGTTCCTGCCAGGGCGGAAAGAGAGAAGATAGAGCAAAGAGAGACAAAGGGCGGGAGGGGTGTGTGTGTGTGTCAGCGCGGGGTGGTTGCGTGCCGCATGGGATGCGGGAGCGAGAGGGGCCCACTTACGCGCCGCAGAACCGCGCGAGCTGGAGGGCCGCGATGCCGACGCCGGAGGCACCGGCGTGGACAAGGACGTCGTCACCTGGCTTGCATTGTCCGATCAGGACGAGTGCTTGATAGGCTGGGTGGGGCGCGCGGGGCGGGCCAGCGCGAATCAGCATCGTTTGTGACGGGGCGAAAAATGCCCGCCTGGGCACACGCACCAGTCAAGAAGCTCTCGGGGATGCTCGCGGCCTCTTCCCAGGTCAGGTGCGCAGGCTTGGGCATCACGTTCGTCTCCGGGAGGCGGATGTATTCCGCGTACGCGCCCTGCGGAGGCCCGTCAGGTCAGGCAGTCCGTAACACTCCGTGATCGCGCAGAGCGGTTCCGCAGG